ATCGGTAATCTTGGTTGTGTTTGTTTGTTCATATAGTTATTGCAGTGAAATAATTGAACACCTAGTTATTAATTAATTAATATTAATTAATTATTAATTTTTCTCAACATTGCCCTATTTCAATAAATCCATTCATGTTATTTTTTTTAACACTCATCAGACAACAAAATAAAGGTAAAAGTTTGTTTCCTTAGAGTTAGAAAAAAAAGAGTCAAAACAAAAATTGGTACTGTCTATGGTTAAATAATTTTTTAAACCTTCTCTGTAAAAACAAGAGGATGCGCTGACATCCGAATCTGGGGGTCCTGAGTTCGAATCTTAGTGAAGACTTGGATTTTTAATTTCTGGATCTTTAGGGCACCTCTTGAGTCCACCTAACTTTAATGAGTACCTGACATCTGTTGGGGAAAACGGAAAGGTGGTTGGACATTGTGCTGGCCACACAACACCCTCATTAACCATGGACCACTGAAACAGATTACCTGTGCATCATCTGCTTTATAGATCACAAGGTCTGAAAGAGAAACTTTACTTTTTTAACTGTACTCTGAATAAAAAAAATCATTATAAAAAGCTGTTTCATTTTTGTCAGAATTCATCTCATCCAATAAACATCTTATTCTCTTGACATGTACTATTTCAAGCCAGTGTGGCACAACAAGACACACAAATAGAAAGAAGGGGAGTCTTCCTATTTGAACAAATTTAACTATTGGGCATAACAAATTTATTTTTTGTGTTCGCCATCTTTTTTTTTTTTTTTTTTTTCCAGAATGTAAGAACCATATCTAAAATGTCTTTGTCTTCAACATAACATTTATTAATTGTTAAAAGTTAATTAAAGTACCATATTATGTTAAAGGTTTCATATATGTCTAAGTACAAGCTTCTTTAAACCATGCAAATCTCAGCCCTCAGACTCAATCATTTCTAATAGCAAATGATCATTCACTTTTATGATTATTACCTTTGTGAATAAAAAAATGTTGATTCACGCACATCTCATGTTATCTCAGTCTAAATGCACTAGTTGAAATTGTTCAACTTATTACTTTCTTAGCAGAAAAAAATAACTTGATCATTTCGTGAAGGGGGGGGGGGGGGATACGTTCAATGTCCATCAAAAATGAAACAATTAGTTGTATAAATTTTGCATCTGCTAAGGTAACAGTTTATTCTTGTAATTGCATTTTTTTGTTTTCAATATTCTTTTAGAGGTAGTTTTGAAAAAAATCTTTATTGCACATCTAAAAAAAAAAATTCATGTTTTGATTCTTGAAAATCAATCTGAAAATCAGAAATAACATTTATATAATAAAAAGCCAAGAGGTTATGATGAGATAGAGAGTTCTATTTTTTGAAATCATAGTTGAAATCCACATATTATGCCCGATATTTTGTTTTGAAAAAAAAAAATTTGTTTTTTTAAAAGATTGTCAAAAATTTCTATACAGCCCATGAATGTCCTTCCTCAAGTTTTATTTTGTATCACATTTCAATTTTATCCACAAGAAATTATTTCCTATAGAAGCATCCTTTATATTTAATGGTACTAGTCCTCTTTGTAAAGCTTATCTCAACTCACTCTAGTAAACATTTTGAGCATGTTATTTTTCCCACACCCATTCTTGGATCAAGTTGAAACTTGAAAATTATTATTTTTTATTTTTTTTGGTACACATCAATACCCTAATCAATTTAAAAAATTAACCAATTAGTCAATTTATTATTGTGTTTGATTTTGAAAAAGGGAAATAGCTTCTACATTACTGAGATGTAGGTTTGTAAACGTGGAGTTCTTCTTCATAGATAAGCTGAACATTTCATAAAAACTTATAACTATTCTTAAGCTCTTTTGGCCAGACTTTATAGTACTAAGGTAATTGCTTTAAATTTCAAGACATATTGAAAGTTGAAAATATTATGTAAAAATCGCACAAAGCTTGATTGAATATTTCAAAAAAATTGATTGCATACTAAAGACAAGTCAGTGATTTTTATTTTAAGGTATGAGTTTTTGCTATTGTTTTGTTTATATTATGAAAAGTCCTATCACTTCCTGTAGAAATAATTTAATAGGATTTTGTTTTTCACTGTTTGAAATGTTTAGTCACTTGAAGAATGTTTATCAAGTCTAGTCCAAGTGCACATCTTGGAAATAATTATTTCCTCTTTGTTCATTTCATATCTTTGTTTACTTTTGTTTTTATATGAGCTCACTATTTGTTTCATTTTTTTTTCTTATTTGTTTTTCAGTTCAAATGTTTGCAACTGAACTAATTGTATGTATAAATAATGTACTTTTGAGCTGGCAGATGTAACCTTGACCTTGCCTCTGCTTTCCCAGAATCAATAGCTGAAGGTGGGGCAGTGTGGGGTACTTCATAGATCTCTAAAAAGCCTGTCTTTAAGACAGGGATTCTTATTTTGGAATACTAATCCATTTATTTTTATTAGCTTTATATCTGATTTTTGCATTGCATAATGCAATGGAGAAAGACATTGAAAATATGAAAATTGATACACTTTTTTGATGTGAAGGGAGCCTACATTTAAAAAAAAAAAAAATTCTGTCTCATATGATACCATGTTTTCATTGTACAAGTAATATTGGCCTCTGCAATCATTGTATGTTTAATCTAAATGGGAGCTCTAGCCCTTTCTTCCAAAGCTGTGTGTGGATTAAATTAATAACTACTTCCCTATACATAATGATTACCCCTTCCCTTCTTTTTCTTACACCCTGCGTAATGTAAAATGACAATATATATAATTTATTCATTTAAAGCTATCTTAAGGCATTATATCCCCCTGCTTTTAATCTGTACCTCTTTCTAAAGTGTAAATCAATAGAGTCATCTCTAAAGCCTAAATTTGTGAATTCCATGTTTATAATTTAAACAATTTACTTCATACATACACGATAGTTTCATTTTTTTTTTAGTATTTACTAAAATAGAGTGTTGTGAGTACGGGTGTAAATAGGTCATTAAGATGACACGATTGTGTGTGTGTTTTGTTTTTTAATTAATTTTAATTCTCTATTTGTTATGTTACTATTTGTCATTGCTATGCAAACATTTTTACTGTCACTGACTGAGTTAGCGAAGACTGTATACAGATCATTTTGGGGTTTGTTTATATTTGTTTTTAAATTTCAATATAATATTGGTCAGTGATGTTCAATGCCTTTCTGACACCAATGTTTAAATAACATACCAATCTCTTGCACTGTGTGCAAAAATTTTGATGTGCCAATAACTTTTGTATCATATGGGTCAGCTATGGCTCTCTAAGTTGGGCTTTACGTTTGAAAAAAAAATGTATCGATTCATAATTTCTGTATTGCTTTCCCCATCTTTCTTTTAATAAGATTGAAAGGTCTTATTAAACCTAAAAAATAAAATAAAAAACCCGAGATCTAGTAATGTTTGGGTGCCCTGTGTTTTTTTTTTAAATCGCAGTCTAAGGTTCAGAGTAGGACATACAATTCCTTTAAAACAAATTGGGATGAAACTAGATCGATCCAGTTTCTTCTGTGTAGATTCTTCTTCTTCTAGCCAGCTTTATTGCTGCTGAGCTGTCAGCTCTTTTGCAGACTGTGCCAAGGAAAAAAAGTGTGCTGTTTTCTTCAGTTGTTCAGCACTGCTGTACAGAGTGTTGGTTATGTTGGGCTGTTGTGGAAGTAGGGTCTGCCTAAGGTGGATTAGGAAGGGGCATTCAAAGAGGATATGGTTTACGGTTTCAAAGGGGTGGGCGCAGTGTCTGCAAAGGGGTAGTTGTGTGGAGTTTATTTTGTTCAGGTGGTAATTTAATAGTGGTGTGTGTCCTGTTCTTAGTTGGAAGATTGTAGATTGTTCTTTGCGTTGCGGGGGAGGAAGTTAATACTGTCCAGTTTGTTAGGCGTAGTCATTTCTTTGTACATGGCTCTGCCTGTGTTTCCTGATGCCCATTGGTTGAGCCACTGCTCTTTGTGATTGTTGACTAACATTGACCTTAGGGTGAGGTAGTTAACAGGTCTATCTGGTTGTTCCATAGATTAACCTGCCTTTGATAGCTTATCTGCCTTTTCATTTCCCATGATGCCAATGTGTCCAGGGATCCACTGTAGTGTGAAATTGATATTTAATTTTGATATCATCTGATGGATTATCACAATGAGTGTTGTCAACTCTCTTGGGCTGTTTGAGGTGCTGCTGTTAAGTGCTTGCAGAGTAGATTGGGAGTCTGTAAAGACAACAATATCTGATGGTGCTTGCACTCCTTCATATAATTTGTTTTCCACTGTCTGTAGTGCTATCGCCTCAATTTCGGCTTGGAAGTTTGAGCAGTAATCGCCACAGGGTGCGCTTATCTCAAAGTGTTTATTTTTAGGGAAGACCAGGAAGGCACCAAGACCAGCATTGATGGTAGCTTTGAAAGCCGATCCGTCTGTATAAATATGGATAGCTGTTTCTTGATAGCTTTCAATTGTTTCAAGTGTGTAGATAAAATCTTATTGGTTGATTTGTATTGAATTTTAGGGAATTTTTTGTTTCGTTGGTTTTGGAATATTATTTTGTTTGTTTCAGTCTTACTTAGCTGATGCTGTGTTGATAGGAGCAAGCTCTGTACTACATAACAGCTTCCATTGGCAGTAGCGCAGTGTTTCCCAAACTGTGTTCCGCGGAACACTTGGGTTCCGCGAGGCCTGACTAGGCATTCCACTATTTGAATAATTAACTAGAAGCCACCGCCTGAATTAATCTCTCTAAAAAAAAAATAAGCAAAGTGTTCCGCTAAGTTTGGGAACTATGCTGTAGCGTATCGTGGGAGAGTGCAGTCAATTACGCCCCCTTATCCAGCCAGCTTTTAATATGCTTGAATCGATAGTACGACTGGGAATGATCTTAGTCAAGGCCTCGTCTCTCATTCAGAAGCGTATTCCTTGACAAGTGTTGCGAAGGTCCTGTTTGCCTGCTCAATGTTGAGCCAGTAAACGGCCATTTTCGGGTGAGGGTTGGGGGGGGGGGGGGGAAGGACGGATGATTAAGTGGGATTTTGAACTTTTAGGATTTTTTTTAGGACCACCTTGCGTCCACCCAACTCTAATGGGGTTTGAATTTGGTTGAAGAAAATGTGCTGGTCACATGACACCCTCTTGAACCTTCGGACATAGAAACAGATGGACCTTATTTTTCTGGTTGTCTCTGTCTTTCAGTATCAGCATTTTGTACTAGAGTTGAATTTCAAACAAATTGAGGCGCTGATAAATGTTTATAGATTGAAATGATTAAACAAAGATCTTTATTTTGAATGCATTTTTTGTTTAGCGTTTTTTTTTTGTTGTTGTTGTTGTTTATGTTGTTTTATTAAACATTTGACACCAGAAGAAAATTTGCTGCCGAGGACGAAAGTTGACGGCAAAAAGAAAATCTAAATCGACCACCGGCGGACAACGGTTATGCCATCTGAAATTGTCTTTTAAAGTTGTGCATCGCACTTGGAACTCGCACGAGCGCCCTTTCACCTGCCTGAAGTGGGCGGCGAGTTCCTTCTTCACGCCACCCTGTCTGACGGGGGGGGGGGGTGAGACTCGGAGTTAAACTGAAGAGTTTGATTTCGCGTTCACTTCCGGTGGACACGGACACTGCGGACTAGAGACTCGGTCAAAGGCCGGCCCATCGGGACTCCCGTCATGTTAATTTAATTTACCAGGCTAACCGTGCGGGACACGCCATTCATGTAACGGCCCCTTGAGGGACGGCTCCTGGACGTTGACAGATCGCTGCGGGAGCTCTTTTACATCCCCGCACAGTGCAATGAGGATGTTCTCACACCTTCTTGGGCACTCCCCCGGGAGCCTTGTTTCGCTACCCATTCGGCCTAGCCGTCCCTTCTATCGACCGTTTCCACCCGGGCGCCACGATGAGGCAGGGCAGCAAGCCCGGGAATGGTTCTACCAGCACTGGTTGTGTCAAAATATGTAGGTCACAGCCTCAGCTGCGGAGCCACGGAAAACACTGCTTTCTTCATTAATCTTTTGACTCGAAGACAAGCCTTATTATTATTATTACAGTAAATTATCTCGTCCAATTTGTAGATGTGAAATTGAACAAAAAAAATAGTAGGTCTAATTATTTCAGCTTTTTAAGATCCTTTTTTATGCTCATAAGCAATAAATACACTAAGAGAGACAATGAAGAAAGAGCGATATTAAGAAATGTGGTAGCGATATAATGGAATCCAAAGAAAAAAGTAATAAATTGGGGGAGAGCTTTTGAAATGAATAAACAAAATCTATTACGCCATTTGAAAGAGCACCGTTGCCAACTACAAAATGAAAGATACTTTGTACTACAAGCGAAAGAGCGATTTTTGGTGTATCCGGTGTACCAAATACGGACGCATTGATACACTGTACCTTTACCTTACATTTACCTATCCATTAGTCTGTTGGACCGTTGGGGCACCACGCAAGATTCGTCGACAGTCTTCCTCCATTCCTCTCTGTCTTTTGCTTTGGTTAGAACCTCTTTCAATGGCTGGCCCGTCCAATCTTTTATGTTGTTCTCCCATCGCTTTCTCTGTCTGCCTCTTCTTCTTTTTCCTGGTACTGTTCCCTGAAGGATGGTCTTTGCGAGCCCAGAAGATCTTGTGATATGGTCATGGAGTTTTAGCTTGCGTTTTTTTTTTTTTTTATTATAGGTCATCTGGGGGTTCAATTGCTGCAGTAACACTGTTTCTAATGTCTTGGTTTGTGATGCTGTCTTTGAACGTGATACCTAGGATCCTTCTGTAGCATCTCAATGCCATTGCTAGGATCCTCCTCTCTAGCTCTGCAGTCAGCGTCCAAGACTCACAAGCATGTAAAAATTGGCCATGACCAGGGAGCGCATCAGTCTGATTTTGATACACTATACATTTTTTAAAAACTACTTTTTAACACTGTACAATCAAATTAAATATCAAATTTTAAACAAAAAAGATAGCGGTGAATAATCTTCAAAGTGGCTTTTGAGTCACGTTTTTGTTTTAAATTGTTATTCACTGGAGTAGCAAAACATTTCACAGGCAAAACTTCGGGTTTTCCCATTGGCTCGCCAAAGTTGCATCGATTCCAACTAAAACATGGCCACTAGCCAAGTAAACAATATTATGTTGCTCTTAAAGTGATTATTCTTGTAGTGGTGCTCTTGTTTGACGGAGCTGGACCAACAGAATCCATGAAAGAATTTAGAAGCAATTCCTTTCGAGGTACTTTTGTGCTAATATCTCGCAAAAACGAAATAGATCTAGGGCCCATACTGTAGTGTAGATCTCTGTTGCCGAATTCAGTAGTAGTATTAGTAATATTATTTAATTTAGTTTTGGAGTGCTGAGTCGAACTTTAACTCTAAGCTCAAGGAAGCTCCTTTCCAGCCCCTCTGGGAGAGATTCAAAAGATGTACATTTGTGATATCCTTTTTAACGATGACTCGATCGCATCCCAAGATGCTCGGGCTAGAGGTGAGGCCTTGGGCTAGAGGTGAGGCCTTAGGCCAAGCACACCGAGGAAAACGTCTACTCCTTCTCTGTACAAGCTCAGCCTTGCTGGTGTCCGCCATAGAACGGCCCCTTGAGGAACGGTGTGTGGATAATGACAGGATTGTTGGAGCTCTCTTCCATCCCCGCCAATGCAATGGACTCGGTCCTTATAAGACACCCCAACGGAGTTCTGTTTTGCTTCCCTATAGTGGGCTATAGACCTAATCGTCTGCTGTAACATTTTTTTTTCCATCCGTGCGCCACGTTGAGACTGAGAAGCATTGCTCGGTACTGTATATCGAGATGTAGATCCTAGATTGACATTAAGTTATGTCATTTTTCTAGATATCTCTAGAAATTTGTTAGGCCTAGTAGTTTTAGAGTGGGCTGTTCAAGAAATGTAACCCATTCTAAATTAGAATAAAATCTAATGTAGTCTAAATCTAGACTCTAGAACCAAACTATATCTAAATATCGATATCTTCATTGAAATTTTCGGAGGCGTGGTAAAGCGCTTGGCTTCCGAACCGAGGGTTCCTGGTTCGAATCCTGGTGAAGACTGGGATTTTGGGATCTTTGGGTGACTCCACCCAGGTAATGGGTACCTGACGTTAGTTGCGGAAAGTAAAGGCGGTTGGTCATTGTCCTGGCCACTTGACACCCTTGTTGACCATAGGCCACAGAAACAGATGCCTTATGGACCACAAGGTCTCATAGGGGAACTTTTACTTTACTTTTACATTAAAATTTTCAGTTAACACACATTTATTTAACGATGTCAATGTAGGCTTGACTTGTTAACCAATACCTATTGCCAAAGTAAACAAAACCTATTGGCTTACTGATCTATAGCCTTCTTTCCAGTTATCGGTCATGAATCTGGATCTGGTACTGGGGATGTCCTGTAATAACATCAGTTGCCTGGCCTGTGACCGAAACAGCAGCCTTGTGGCCCACACAGCTGCGGGTGTCCTTGTTATACTTGATGCAGAAACCAACAGGTAATTTAAATCGACACAATTCAAAACCCTGTAACCTTTAGTTAGGTACCTTTACTGTAGGTACTTTTACTGGAAGTACCTTTACTGGTGGTACCTGTACTGTCCTGGCCTGACCTCTTTACCGGTCCCTGCATTTTTATATTCAACATCTGACATGAGATAATTGCGTAATATTTAATGTAAAAGCAGATTTTGGACACTCATTTGGGGGTAGCCCTTAAGTGTGGACCCGGTAAATTTGGACCCCCACCCCCACCTTAGCTACGCCACTTGATGCAGTAACCAACAGGTAATTTAAACGAATGAAATGCCAGGCTTTGTTGTAGCCTTGAGTGTTTATTCGACGTTCTTGTTTAAATTATGTTTCTTCATACATCCAGGGCCGGATTAATTATGTGGAGTATTTTGAAGGCCTCTGTCAAGATTTTTTAAAATGAGAAAAAATATACTTTAAACTTTCTGGCTTGTCGAAATTCCGATATATTATTCTTTTTCGTGGAGGCCCCTTTCTTTTAGAGTACCCGGGGCTGTAGCCGTGCCGGCTCTGCATACATCCACATTCAAGCTGAAGCTGTGTATATTAAAAAAAAAAACATTTTTCAGTTTGTTTTAAAAGAAGTCTGTTCAAGTTTATTCCAATAAGAATTAATGCGCCTACATTGGCTAGTTATATTAGATTTAATGCTACAATTGAACCACTGAGCTAAACCAGTCTTAATCAAATTTAATACGGTCCAGTTAGGAATCGGCGTCGAAGGCGCCATTATCCCTATCGGCCAGCAAAATGCTACGGCTACATTAGAATTAATAAAAATGTTTTCTTGTTTCCAGTCAAGTGAAGTACATTCATCTTAATAAAAACTGTGTCTCGTCCGTGAACTTTTCTTCTGATGGTAAACTGATTGTGACAGGAGAGATTGGCTACAGACCAGCTGCTAGGATTTGGAGGGTTAAGGTAGGCTGCAATTTAATAGGATTAATAGATCACCTGCTAGAGATTAGAGGGTGAAGAGCTGCTAATCAACATTTTAGCTTATTTAGATTTTTAGTGCGTGGTAAAGAATAAATATGTTAATGTTACTATTAATTATTGATATCTTTGTTTCGTAATATAGTTTCATAGTTAAGTTAGGCCTGTTCTCTTATTGGTACATTCTTATGTAATTAAATCTTTTTTTATTGTCTCTTCAACTCTCTCTCTTTCTGCCTGTCTCTCTCAGTCTGCCTCTCTGTATGTATGTATATATATATATATATATGTCGACCTGTCTCTCTCTTTATCTCTGTCTCTTTCTCTCTGTCTATATCTTTCTCTGTCTCTCTGTCTCCTCTCTTTGACTGCAATGGCTGTTGTTATTGGCCTGTCTACGTTCCAATACTAGACGTTTCCGTCGAGGCGCCTCTTCATAGTGCGGTCTACTCTCTTGCTGTATCTGCGCAGTAGTCAACATTGATGACCACACTTCGAGTGCCCGTTCTATAACATTCTCTTATTGGAGGAATTTAGGTCTCTACAGCATCTTCACCCTCCTCAGACAACGCCGCTTGCTCTGGTTTAGTCATGTCCCACGGATGAATGTATCACAAAAGTCATCCTTTATGGACAACTCGCGATGATCACACGGAAACAGGTCTTCCATTATTCCATAGCATACTCAGTGCACTATGGTCCAATCTTTTATTGTTGTGGACATGTGGGGGAAACGGGTCATCTTGGAAAAAAACATTCTTTATGGTGTCAGCTCGAGCCAAATATCTTATTGAAAAATTCGTGATTTACATCGGATTACAAA